GGGAGGGAACTGTGATGCATGATGGGAATATTGTGGGGATGTGTGTCCAAAATGTCCCCATGTCCTTCTGTCCTTTCAGTCTCCCATTTGGTCCCCTAGGGGAGTGTCCACCAAGTGGGAGACCTGCATAAATACCGGGCAGGTAGCCCACAGTAAATCAGTTCGTGTTTTACCCTCAAAGCGGAGCTTGGTCTCGTTATTGGGGGGATTTTATTACCGGCGCCTAGAGACTGATTATTTGCCGCTTGAAAGATATTGGCGTTCGGTTACTATTGTCAGTTCGTGGATTTGGAGCTCGTGAAGGGAAAGAGCCGTGCACGTACCGTTCCGTAGTTTGGAGTGTTCCCTAGCTGGCGGTTCGCATGGTTTTACTATACCCGCTACCAGACCACATTATTGTGAACGGGGAGCATTCGCTAAACGGCGGTTTGTACATTTTATTACTGGAGGTACCGTAACAATGGGGTAGGCCAATTCTTTGGTAATTTCACTGGTAAGTACTGTGCCACATATAGCCCAATTCCACCCGCCCTAATCCAGCAACAAATAAGATCCCTTGGAGACATATATTGGATTTGTGGGGATATGCAGATTAGAACCAGAATGGAAGGCATATGGTGGGGAGAATGTGCCCTAGCTAAGGTAATTATGCCTATACACATGATCTCTGACGGACACCAAGATACCCCAGGTACGTCACACCAATACTCTAGAATAAAAATAGATACTCCTGTAAAAGGCAGTTTTGATCCCCATATTTATATAGATGCCATAGCAGTGCCAAGGGGGGTGCCGAATGAGTTTAAAGCAAGAGATGAAGTGTCCGCAGGGTTCGAATATATTTTCCCAATCATCACGGCCAATAAAAATTTAAATTGGATCAATTACATCTATTATAACCAACAACGTTTTGTAAATTATACAAGAGATGCCCTCCAAGGTTTGGCGGAACAATTACAAGCTACTTCCCAGATGACCTTCCAGAATAGAATGGCCTTAGACATGATCCTGGCGGAGAAAGGGGGAGTATGTAAAATACTTCCAGACACCATGACATGCTGTACCTATATTCCAGATAATACAGGCCCTAATGGTAAGGTAACGTTGGCAATAGAAAAGTTAAAGAGTTTGTCCAATGAACTGAAACGAAATTCTGGGGCCACAGATCCATGGGAAAGATGGTTTGGATGGATGACTGGATTGCAAGGTGCTCTGGCCCAAATAGGTGTTGCCATTTTAATAACGATAATCATCCTCGCTCTTCTTGTTTGTTGTGTGTTACCCTATCTTAAGAAATGCCTACAAAAGACAGTTGATCAGACAATCGACCAGACCACCCCGACCTTCCTTCACCAAGAGATTGACGACATAGACCGTGATACACCCTTACAGTCCCACCGCACTAAATCAACAGCTACTTCCTCTTAAGGACATTCAGGGATAGCGTCTGTCTCTACGGGCAGAAGTCTGTCGCGGGAAGAAGTAGTGGACAAGCTGCTATGGGTTACCCATGCAGTGAAGTGTTCGAGGCCTGTTCAGACAGATGTGCAAGATAGCCTTTTTGTTATTTTTCTATAGGGACAGTATTAGAGTGAGAGATAGTAGTTTCTAGTAAAATTGCCATTTTAAGGGGGGACTGTTATGGACAGATGAATTTAAATAAAATGGCTATTTACTAATGTCTATTTATTCTGTGTTCCCTATGTTAAAACTGGCTGCTAGAGTAAATATTCCCTTCCCCCCCCTACAATGTGTTCTGTTGATATTTCCTCTGTAAATTCTTCATCCTGCTAGCATCCCCCTTCCCATCAGAGCAAGCTTTGTGTAACCAAAATTCCTGTGTTAACAGCTTCCTTTACTAACTCCTCCCCCACTTCCTTTGTGCCAGTTAACAGCTATATGCCACGTGTAACAAAATGAAGAATCACTGTTAAAGTAACTGAAAGAGACTACTCACTCCCCCTGTCATCGTGTATCCAGGAGCTGGAATATAGGCGGGAGAAGTCTGTAATGACGACACTACATCCTGTAGGGGGGGTTTAGACAAGACCCCTTAGACTGTTAACCAATTGTTGAATGTATACTGTATGTTTAAACTGTGACGTATTTTTGCTGTAAGAAGGAGCCCTTGGTTTTTCACTGATCAGAAACTTTGTCTCCGGTGTGAATTACTTCTAGGGAAAGCGTGCACGCATTAATCAATCAATTTGGAAGGAGTAGATAGACAAATAATCAAAGTTTTCTTTGATCCAAAACATTGTAGCTCCAAAGAAAAATAAATGAAAAGGAGGATAGTACACTCACATTTGGTGGAGCTAAGACCAGCTCTGAGATG